TATTCTATTCTATTCTATTCTATTCTATTCTATTCTATTCTATTCTATTCTATTCTATTCTATTCTAAAAAGAAAAAACTGTGAAGAATATGGATAAAGCCTGAGGAAAAAGCAAAGGGAAAAGTATTCTCAAGTGTGAGATTAATGTAGGACAAATCCAGAATATAGATTCTCCTTTAGCCATGTTGTGGCTACAACTATTCTGGGGAAAAAAACTATTTTTTTTTTGTATGTACAGTATGACATAAACATTTGAAAACTACAACTCAACAAACACATACAAAAGTACAGACATAGGATTTTTATATATTTATTGTTACATTTCTTAAGAATGAAAAGTTAACATCAAATATTTTAATCTAATAGGAGTATGAAACTGGATAGTAGAATTTACATTAAACCTCTCCTTCCCTGTTTGCAATTACATTGTCCATTTTCTATTTTCCAGTGTCAAAATTTTTGAAAGAGCAACTGTCCTTGTTTCTCATGTTGTAGATTAATGGGTTCAACATGGGTGGAATAATGGAATAAGTTATTGTAACAGTGAAATCAAAGTGTGATGGTTTGTCAGGTCAAGGAATCAGGTAAGCAAATAAAGAGGCAACCAAAAATATGGAGAAAATGTGACATGGGGAAAACAAGTAGAAAAGGCTTTTTCCTTCCCTGAACAGAAGGGATTCTTGAAACAACAGAGAAGATCTGTCCATAAGTAACAGTGATGAAGATAAAGCAACCAAATACTAATATCATAATAAATATTATATATCCAATTTTAATTACATATATATCTGAGCAGGCAAACTTAAGTAATTGTGGGATTTCACAATAGAACTGATTGATTGTATTAGAGCAGAAATTATTATTAAAAGTTCCAATAGTATGCAATCCAGCATTAATGAAACTGACAATCCAGACACTGCCAACCATTTTAGTACAGACCTTTTGTTCGTTATCATTTCATATTGCAAAGGATGGCAAATGGCAACAAACCAATCATATGCCATGACAGTCAAGTTGTAAAAGTAAGATGTTCAATCTGAAAAAAAAACACTATGGAAGGGCAAGGAAAACAAATTATTAGAACATTATGGCAAAAGCAAACAATAACAACCCTTTTCTTAACCCATAGATCAGCCTGTAACATGGAGGTTGTCAGGACTCCAACAAATCCACCCCCATTCAAATGATAAGTCTCTACCAATATCTCTCAGAGAAAATAAAATTGATTTATTAGAAGTAGCCATGTTGCCATTAACTGGATTCAGCCAATACTAAAATACATCATTCATCTTCCCCTTGACCCTGGTCTTCCCCCCACTCCTGGATGTATATTCT